TCAGCAAAAGGTTTGACCTCCCCCTCCCAGAAGCTAGGCCATAAACTCTAACATACTTTAATCCATTTTACCCTTTCTTTCATTTTACAACTTGGGAAACAATTAAGGTTGAACAACAGCAGTATGAAGGAGTTAAGAAATTTTTATTTGGAACGTAGATATTTGTGTATCAGAGTCAGATTTTCCTTCCAGACCTGCCTAAACTAGATGGAAAACCTCTGTGGAAAATCAACCTTTTTATGGGTAGTTTATGGTCAGATCTGCCTCACATCTTACAAGGACAACCACTAAAGAAAAGATGAACTCTAAATGAACCTTAAATGAACTCTAAATGAACGGATCCATTTCTGTTCTAGATCCCATGGCTTATGGACTTGGCTGTAGACAGGCTCAGACTGGGAACGATTTTCAGCCCTGGCATTTTTCCAGCTACACCAGCCAATTTATAGACCCTAAATAATAGAAGCACAGTCAAACGTGTGCGTATCAAATGTCAAACACAATACGAATACACATTGTGGATTAACCGATCTATCTTCAAGCATCACACGAAAACCATCACCAAGACTTCTATTATGCGGTTTTACTGCCTTTGGTTATATAACGGACACGACTTCTGTGACATCTGCTGCGTAACATCCACACTCGCACGAAGCCAGCCAGACTCCCACTCACACATAGATCTACAACGTAAAACCTGACTGTTATAAAAACACCAACATAAAACAATAGAATTTAGTGGCAGACAGGCAGTTCTTTAAGAATGGATCCATGAAAGCTCAGCGGTGTGTTAGCGTTCACTGCAGGTCTAGGCGGCATTTGGGCAAAGAAACGGAATAATTTAAATAGATGCTAAACCCCATCATTCACCGCAACATATATCTGCAAAATATTGTAACATAAATTGGCCAAATATATAATATATCGTAGTTTGGTTTAAAGAAAGCATTTTAGTTTTATTCTAATTTAGTTTGTTGCAAGAATTTTACAGTTCTAAGAAATAGAAAATGACACCATATGCCGACCGTCACAAAGATGAGAATGACAAGGAAGGGCTTTTTATACTGCATGCATCATTTAGGGAGTTAACATTGGATTACTGCTTCAGCTCCGTGAGTTATTTACTGTCACAGGTAGGAGCTTCAGCCGCAGAGGAAGAGTTGACCGGCCGGCATGAACCACGATAATAATTTTGGAAATATTCATGCTGATATTAATGTTTTGGTACTTGAGATAGTCTTGGTATTGACAACATTTTTACACTGTCTTTTTACACAGGGTGGCACCATCACTGCTCTTCTCCAGACCTTACAGATAAAATTACAAAAAAAAATGAATACATTTCAAAATATTTTTTTTTTTTTAAAAAGGACCCACTCCAAAAACAGTTAATAAAAACCAAATTATTGGAAGTGTTGAAGACGTTTCACGAGTACACGAGCACATGAGAACACACAAGTACACATATTGAGAAACGACCAGTGTCAGAAGGCACGCCTACAGGCATGCAGCCCAAATGACCAAGCTGGGACCGCCATCGCCTGTTGGAGCTACAGTCACGGTAGACTTAAAATGTCTTAGAATCCACAGTAAGACTAGAGGTTGTCAGGACTCCGGTCTGTGTGTTTGTGTTTCTGTGTTTGTCTTCCTTCCTCCACCAGGAGGCGCCTGGTTCTGGTTCTCCTCCTCACACACCTGCGGATGGTTACCTCGTTAACGGAGCGTTCTTAAGCTGCTGACTGCCACTACCTCGACGCCAGAGTGTTTGCCAGTTTTGGGTACTCTAGCCAAGCTGAGTTTTGCTGAGTCAAACTGAGTTCTTGTCAACCTTAGTTTTAATCTTGTTTTTTTGTCTTTGCCTCTCGGCAGGAAGTCATCCTGCAAACTGGATGTTTCGGACCTTCTCTCCCTGGAAGGATCATCTGAGCTTCAAACTGAGCTAAGGATTTAAACAGGAGGTTTGAATCTACTTTTCCCCAAGAGATCGTTTGAGCTTCACACTGAGCAATGGATTCATTTCCACTATGACCCGTTCAAGTACCGCAGGAAATCTGAGTGGCAGTCAGCTTCTCCGTTCACCTACAAACAACCACATTCTGGGTAAACCCTGTTCCGCCCTCAACCAAATCAGACAAACACTGGAACCACGGCACACAGACTGGAGTCAAAGAGTCAACAACTTCTCTGGAAACGTGAGTCAGCAACCAAATCCTCCTCTTCAAGTTGACGAATCTAATCTCCCACTGAGCCTAAACTAACCGCTATGTCTTCCCTTCACTTTTTAGTTCCGGTTGAACAGTGTTAAGAGCAACACTTCCATCTGCATTATCTCTTCAATAAACCTGATAAACCTTTCCCCTGGTCTCTCTGAATTGGTGTCTCTGCATGTGGGTCCGAGCTCTTGATAAAAACATGACAGAGGTGGGGGGGGCTCTGTGTTTACATCAACAACAGCTGGTGTAAAAATGCTAGATCGGTTTTCAGCTTCAGCTCTCCAGACATCTAAGTTTCTGACTGTTAACTGCAGGCCGTTCTTTCTGCCCAGAGAGTTCAGTATGGTTAGCATCACTGCTGTTTATGTGCCCCTCAGCGCTAACACTAAAGAGGCCATGAAGACTCTATATCAGGCTATCTCTGAGCTCCAATCTGCACACAGAGGTTGTTTTCATCATCGCTGGGGATTTTAACCAGGCTAACATGAAGACTGTTCTCCCTCATTTCTACCAACATGTGGACTTTGCAACTCGAGGTGAAAACACTTTAGACCTGGTTTACTCTGACATCAAATTCAGAGCAGCCCCAGCCCCCACCTTGGGTTATCAGATCACCTATCTGTCATGCTTATCCTGGCATACAGGCTCCAGCTAATGAGGGGGATACCAACAGTGAAGCAGGTCAGAGTGTGGTCTGAGGGCGCCATGAAAACACCCCAAGACTGTTTTAAATGCTCTGACTGGAACATCTTCAAGGCTGCAGCAACATCTGACAACTTATTAAATATTGATGAGTATGCCATGACTGTGTCAGCCTACATCAACCAATGCATTGAGGACGTCAGCATCAAAAAGAACATCACCACCCGGGCCAACCAACCACCCTGGAGGTTCGGAAATCGCTAAAAGCACAGAACTCAGCTTTCAAGTCTGGTGATAAAGAGGCACTGAGAACAGCGCGTGGAAACTTAGACCATCAGATCAGCGAAGCAGAACCACAGCCAGAAGATCCAGGATCTTTTTCACAACAAAAGCAACACCAGGAGGATGTGGAAAGGCATTCGGATTATCACAGACTACAACACACCCTCCCCCCCGTAGATGCAGCTGAATGATCTAAACAGGCACTAAGCAGCCCTCCAGCAGGGGAAGCCGTCCACACCATGGGGAGGAGGCAGTCAATGTGCTACAAAATGACAATAAAAGGACCACTGAAATGATTCTGTAATATTTCTGACAATAGTACAGCAAAAAGTCCTGTTCAAGCTGAACACGCTGCTGTTTGTTTTGGGTTCCATTTTCAAACGGCAGAAGTAAGGAAAACACTGGGTGTTATTTCAGTACACACCCAACAATCATCTGAGTTAGAAATAAAACTGTGTCGATCTCAGCTTTCACCTGCAACTTCCTTTAAAGAAGTGTTTCCTTTCCAGTGCAAACAGATCATGTTTATCATCACTAATGGCTGTGCTTTCAGGCAGTTGTTCGGCACAAGGAAACAAACAGAAAATACAGAAGGAATTAGAGGAGGATTTTATACTAATTATAGAAATGTTGTTTTTTTATAACCCAAATTCACGTTTTAAATCATCTTTTTGTCAAAACTTTAAAATAAAGGAATTTAAATCAGTTAAAGTTGACAGACCGGATCCTCTGGGTTATAATTATCACTTCTCCTTATCACTGGCAGAGGAGCTGACTGAGGTGGCTGGATCCCTTTGACCTGCTGTTGATCGAAGGCCAGCACATTGCAATGAACAGATGACGTTAGGCTATTATGGTTCAATTATTTTCATCTATGGCTAAATGATGGAGTAAGAACATGATGTACAGGTTGGGTGGATGGGACGACATTCCAGTTACTTTTTTATTGCTTTGTTTAACTGTAACTCTAAAAGAAGAATGACTCAGGTAGCAAAAATCATAAATGGCTCAAAAACCAAAAAAGCACAAGAAAGGACAATAGCAGCAAGGACATTTTTTTTATTTGTTAATGAAACAGGATGGGAAGGTAGGCTGTGACAGAAAGGAAGGTTGTCTGCCTGCCGTGTCTATCAGAGAAGATGTCTCTGTGTGACGGATTCCTGTGCTGGCCTTCCGTGCTCGGAAGGTTAAAGCAGCCTCTGCTCTGGATGTGTGAGCTCACCTTTCAGCACCTTTTTTATTTGAAATACTCCTCTTAAAAATCAAAAAATAAAATCTGCTCGACCAAATGTTCTATGATAAATACATGTAGGTCTAATTATTATATCTTAATGCCAAACTGCCCTTTCTACTGTTTTAACTAAATAGTAACAGCTGGAGTATATAATGACGACATCAGTTTACCTTCATTTTAAACCAGCTGTGGAGTTTTTATATCAGATCATCATCACAGAGGGCAGCATGTAGCTTTACAAATGAAAACTTCATTTATAAGAACTGGTATTGCAACTTTACTGGCATTACTTTAGGCTTTCAGCCACTAGGTACACGTACACGGCTTGTATCCCTCAAGTCATTTACAAAAAATACTATTTAAGATCAGATCACCACACGCCTCAAAAAACACCAAAAAGGGAGTAATTAAATATTTTTTTTGGTTTGCAGCTTAAAGTTTATTTTTCCTACAAAACTAAAGGGATAAATGGGTTTTGACTATAGGTGTACTGGTCTGAGCGGGTATGCTCATCTGACAGAACACCGGATGAATCGCTGCGGTGCAAAAGATTCAGCCTGACAGTCCTGACTTTGATTTTTCTGCTTCCCTTTATCTCACATCTTACACACATAAAGATAAACGCTTACCTGTGTGCACTGCGAGGGCATGAAGCGCTCCCTTCCTCACTGAGACCTTCTCTACTGAAACCATGGAGTTAAGCAGAGAGTGAAGACACAAAAATCCAGTCATCATCCCCATGGTGAACATCAGACTTTTAGGGTTCATTTTTCTAAAATAACCTGTCAAAAACACACATATGTATGGAGGGCTGACCAAAAACAATTAATTTTTCAGCCAAAGATCAGGAAAATCTGTTTTAATTTCAAATAAAACTGAAGAAAATTCTTTCCTAAATAGATAAAATCTTTTTGATTAATAAGGACCTGAAAAACAGAACTGAACATGAACAGGTGTTTAACTCCGTTCAGATCATTAGGCGGAGCGAAGACCAACATCAGCCTGATGTCACTGCGCCCATGGCATGCAATCATAGGGAAGAGGAGGGCAATGCTGCTGCAGAGGATCCAACCGAAACAGGTTGAGCTGCTGCTGGCTCACCATGTGCCGCCTCCATGTCAAACATCAGACGTGGTTTCAGCTAAGGAAGGTCTAATTAGGTTTAATTAGACCTTTAGGTTAGAAAAACAAAATGTTAAAATGACTTGAACGATGTTTAAAACATGATACCATGACACGGCAAACTGAATGCAATGTGAACATGCAGCATCATGTTGAGTAGTTAGAATTTAAAGCATTTAAACTGCTGAACAGGAAGGAAGAAGGAAATATAATAGGAAAATTCATTACAGCACCATAAAAATAGTCCAATAGTTAATGATTAAAATGAATAAAAAGGAATAACAATAATGATAAGATTATTATCAACAAGTCACAGCATATAAATACTCGGGCATCTGGTTGGAAACGTTACGTCACTTTTCTTCTCCATCCACATTTCAAAGCTGCAATCTAAAGTCAAGGCTAAGCTTGGCTTCCTTTACAGAAAGCGCTCTTCCTTCATCCCTTCTGCGAAACAAACTCTTATCCAAAATTCTACCCATTTTAGACTATGGAGACACTATACACTCACTGGCCACTTTATTAGGTACACCTGTCCAACTGCTCGTTAACACTTAATTTCTAAGCAGCCAATCACATGGCAGCAACTCAGTGCATTTAGGCATGTAGACATGGTCAAGA